GCCATCCTAACTTCCACCAAGTCAAATGAATTGACAAAAGTAATATGAGCTCAGCTTTGGTCAGCAGTGGGTCTGTCTTGGAGACAGCTGGAACTGACTCTGTCGGACATGGGGGAAGCTCCTGATGCTTTCTCAACAGAAACCACCCTTGCAGACTCCCCTCTATCAAATCCTTGCCACATAAACCCAATACAAGCTGATAGCAGATGTCTAGTGAGAGTATGGGACTAGCATAAGGTACAGTGAAGGCAGGTGCCCTGACTTGCTTTAGAGGAAGTTCAACCCTCCTTCTGGGAAGCAGCATGACTTCCATTCCAGACTGAATACTTAGGTACCTGTACTTCTTCATGCTCTGTAGTGATCGAAACCCCAAGTACAGTGTTACAAGTGCTCAGAAAGGGAACATAGCACAACAGTGAAATCACCACTAAACCACTGTTAATCCATGGTATGCCTACACCCTGAACAATCAGTTCTGTTACAGCTACTCCTCATTGGCAAAAGATAAAGTAGGACCAAAAATTTAAAATAAAGGATGTTCAAAGTTACAGAAGAACTTATAGATTGAAAAATGGACAAGAATCTTTAACTCAGAAGAGGCAAAACTCAAAGTCAATATGATAGGCATCTATAAAGTCAGAACTTGAAAAGGAAACAACTATTTGCTTTTTCTCTTATTACAAGAATTGGGAAGTATCAAAAATTATCAGATAATGATTTCTAAACAACCAACAAGATGATGCTTTTTTTGCACATCACAAAGCTAAATTCTTGAATTACTACTACTGCAGGATGTGTCCATGAGGATAAAATAACCAGTCATCATAAAAAAGGAGATGTGCGTCACCACCTGTTTTTGATTCATAGCTCAGAATGCAAGTCTAGTATTTGGTGTTTCTTGCCAAACGCTGTGAGTGTCCAGTGTCCCAGTCTGTGTAACACTGACAGTGCCTCTCATCACATTAGTAACAACAAAAGGCCTCAGTTGTGCAATATCCCATGGAGTCAAGAAACATTTTTACTCCCTGATCTATTTCCAGCATTGTCTATGTTGTCTTCTTGTTATTTCCTGCTCTCTTTGTGTGAGGCAAAGGTGAAGATCTGCTGTCTAAGCCCTATGTGAGCCTCCCTGTTAAAAACCTCCGAGGATACCTTATGCCAAAAGCAGAAGTGTGACCTCATCTCCTTTCTTCCCCCTTCCCATCTTTGCTGACTGGTGGTTCCCTATCCTTGTCAAAACAAGACCCTTTTATTTTCCTCTTCAATTTCTTTATCTTAAGCTGGTGTAGAATGGGCACAATAGAGAATATGATTTTTTTAGTGCAAACCACTTGGTAAACTCTAACTAGGTCTTCGTTGTATTTCTGTACATGCCCTTTTGTTTAAAATGAATAATTATATATATATATATATATTTTAATGCACCATTTTAGCTACCACATCAGCACTGTAAAGCAAAAAAAAAGTCAGGCAGCCAGGAGTAGCTGAGCAGCTTTTCCACAGGTGAAATATACTTCTGGTACATATAACACTAGAAAGAAGGACTATGCTCCTAATCCTGCATGTGATTTATTAAATCAAATCTACTTGATATTTATTTTCTCATTTGTGCAAAACATGAGAAGAAGATATTTACTCTATCTTATTGAGTGTACAGCAAAACAGTTTTTTTTCCCGTCCCCGTGTCCCGTTTCCCGTCCCCGTTTCCCGTCCCGTGTCCCGCTGTCCCCGTTTCCCGTCCTGTGCCCTGCTTGCCTCGTGCCCTGTCGTCCTGTTCCCGTCCTGTGTCCCGTTCCCCGTCCCCGTGTCCCGTTCCTGTCCCTGTGCCCCGTTTCCTGTCCCGTGTCCTCGTTCCCTGTCCCCCTGTGTCCCGTTCCTGTCCCTGTGCCCTGTTTCCTGTCCTGTGTCCCGTCCCCGTGTCCTGTTCCTGTCCCCTGTCGTCCCCGTTCCCGTGCCCCCGTTGTCCTGTCCCGTGTCCTCGTTTCCCCTGTCCCGTGCCCCGTGTCCCGTCTCCCGTCCCTGTGTCCCTGCTTCCCTGTCCCGTGTCCCTGTTTCCTGTCCCCGTGTCCCGTTTCCCGTCCCTGTGTCCCGTTCCCGTCCCGTGTCCCTGTTCTCCGTGTCCCCGTGTCCCGTTTCCCTGTCCCTCCGTGTCCCGTTCCCGTGCCCGTTCCTGTTCCTGTTCCTGTCCCTGTGTCCTGTTCCTGTCCCTGTGTCCCTGTTTCCCGTGTCCTGTGTCCCTGTTCCTGTCCCTGTGTCCTGTTTCCTGTCCCTGTGTCCTGTTCCTGTCCTGTGTCCCGTTTCCCGTCCTGTGTCCTGTTTCCCTGTCCCTGTGTCCTGTTTCCTGTCCCGTGTCCGTTTCCCTGTGTCCTGTTCACCCCTGGGCGCGCTCCCGGCCCTGCCCCTGCCCCGCCCCCGCGGGCCCGCCCCGCAGCTCTCGCGAGAGCGGGACGCGGCCGTGGCTGGCAGGGTCGGTGTGGCGGCCGCCATTGTGCTGCGGCCCTGGCGCGGCTGGCGCGGAGCCGCTGCGGCCCCGGGCCCGCCCCGACAGGTGAGTGCGCACCGCCCGCGGCGCCCGCTGTGGCCCGGCCCGGCCCGGCCCGGCCCGGCCCGGCCCGCGCCTTCTGCGGAGCCCGGCATGGCCCGGCAGCCACTCGTCAGGGCCGGGGGAACCATTTTGTGCCGTGCGGGGCCCGGACTTGCCGTGCTTCCATCCGCCCTCGCCCCCCTACGGCCTCTCGGCTCCGGGGCCGCTCTCGGAGCGAGGCCGTGTGGCACACACCCTGTGCCCTCCTGAGCATCCCCTGCCATGCGGGCTGGGCCGCTCCCCACAGCCGGTGGGGACGGTGCGGGGCCTGACGGCTCTGCGGGAGCAGCCCCGCGGTGCGGCACCGGCCGCTGCGGCCCGGCAGCCGTCGGCATTTGTAAGTATTCTTGCTGCTCGCGGGACTCCTGAGGGGCTGCTGAGTTATTTGTCAGTCTTCCTGCATTGAAGATTGAGAAAATACCCCAAATGAAGAATTGCACAGCTTGGAAGACCCACGAATTCCATCTTGTTTGTCATAAAAGCGTGATTGTGAGTAAACACTGAGGAAGGCACATGAGCACAAGTAGCGTGGGAGAAGGTCTTATGAATAGTTTTACGTTAAACCACACAAAAATATGTAGATGTGAGAGTCTGAGTCTTAGGTAGAAGTGTCGCTTGATAGTTCCCAGGTAGAAGACTTGGATTTAGGAGCTGGTAGTGAAGCTCATGCTTCCCTCTGATCGAGGGTACAGGAATGCTTAAAAGCTTAAAGCTGTTAGTAGAAATCATGGAAGCTGGTAAATTCTTTCTTTACTGCTAGACAAGACTGCCTAAAACCGGTCCTCATATATCAATAGAGAAGGTCAAAGTAGAAGAGACATATTTGCTGTCTGTTATTTTTATCTTTGGAAATTGCACTGCTTTCCAGCAAAGACTTCTTGGATCTTTTCTGTCTTTGTTATCTTTATCCATGGCTATGTTAGGTCTAGTTGATGTTTCATAATGTCATTGGAGGGATGACATCAAGAAGGGCAGGACATATGAACTGTGCACTCAAAAAATAAGCTATTGAACTCCACCTCCTTGGTGGTCATCTGTTTCCCAGGTATGACTTTAAAGTTTTATTTCAGAACTTGGTTTCTGACTGAGTCTTGAGGGGCATGGCATGTTATTTTATGAGCCACTAGAGTTTCCAGATTTTTCCATGAGATTTCGATGGCTAAGTAGTGTAAGATGGCATAAGCTGATAAAATTTGTTGCTTTGATGAGAAGAGTGCTTTTCATCCTGCTGTATCCTTTCTCATTTCTCTGCTGTTGGGTACCAGAATGAGTACAGTCACAATAATGGAGAAACCAAAGGTTTATTTTGCCAGGATAGAGTGTTGAGGTTTCTCAGTGAAGGACACAGCAGGTGTGATATTTGAGTAAGGCATTCCTTTTCTGTTTGGCAGCGGCAGGCTTTTTAATCAGTTCAGACTAAAGCACAATTTCTATTCTTATATTATTAGTATTTCCTCGGAGAAGCAGATTAAGTTTTTTTGGTCTCACTACCTTCTATGTAAATGGAGGTGACTACTTTGTCATTATAGAACTCATTACAGTGTGTTAATTACCACGTGGGGTTTGTTGCATTCCTCTGTGTGTAAACAAAATGCTTGAGGTTTTAATTTGAGTGCCTTTGTTCTCATTTAGGAAAACCCTTAAGACGCTGATCCTGTAAAAGGGAACCATTCTCATTCTGAAATACTGTCTGCAAGGGGAATATTGTGCTTATATACAAGTACTATTGTGGCTTTAATAATGTGATTAATTTTAATTGTGAGACCATTGTCTGGCTCTGTCGTGTACTCTCTGATAGCTTGGCATGTTCACCTTATTTGTGACCAACCCATTGTGTTACCGTGATGAGCATAAGCCTTGTATGTGTCTTGTGTGCATTCAGCCAAACTGTGAAGAGGGTTGCTTCTCAGGCTTTCAAGGTACAGTGATTAAAATGCTTTTCAGAGAACTCTGACTCCCCCACCCCCCTGCCAAGAGACCCCTTACTGGTGTTGATCACCAGAGTTGAAATGCCTAGATCTCATTTTATCTGGCTAGTAAATTCATGTCATGGCTCCATTGATTTCAATTGCAGCTCTGTCCAGCTGGGTAAGACAGAGTTGGGGCTGTTCAGCCTGGAGAAGAGAAGGGTCTGGGGAAACCTTATCACAACCTTTCAGTACTTACATGGGGACTGTAAGAAAGATGGGGACAGATACTTAGTAGAGACTGTTGTAATAGGACAAGAAGTAATGGTTTAAACTAAATTTGAGGAAGACATTTTTTATGATGAGAGTGGTGAAACACTGGCACAGGTTGCCCAGAGAGGTAGTGGATGCTCCATCTCTAGAAATATTCAAAGGCAAGTTGCACAGGGCTTTGAGCCGCCTGATCTAGTTGGAAGATGTCCTTGCTTATTGCGGGGGGGGGGGGGTTGGACTAGATGTCCTTTAAAGATCCCTTCCAACCGAAACTATTCTATGATTTTTTCTCGTTGGATTGCAAGTAAATTTTATGGTGGATGCCCAGAAATTGAAGAGCTCTTTGGTTGCGGTTTTAAAAAAAATTCAATCTTAATTAATCTTGATGACATGCTCCATGTCACTGAATCTTTGTTGAAAGGCAAAGGTAAAATCCAGTTTCCTTGAACAGAAGTTCTTTGCCTAGACCATAAGGCCTTTTATTCAACATCTTTTCACCTCTGCATCAAACAAGGTAGGGTTTCTCTTGCCTTTTCTTATGCTACTCTGATTGACCTTTATAGCAGATCCTTCTTATTTGCTGGCTGAGGTCAGGACTTCAGGAAAAAAGAACAGTTGTATTCAAGAGATTGATCATAATGTGTATGCATAAACTGACATTAAATTTTGCATTTTCTAATGTGCTGCCTTAATATTGTTTTAACACTTTTTTTGTGCGTATAGTTTCTGCAAGATTTCTTTGTTTGAAGAAAGATAGTATTATATAGATAATATCATCCTGAAGAAAGACAGTACTATATAGATAATATCATTCTGACATACTAGGGTTGAAATCACAGCCTGTGCTAATTTACAAGATTAGGCTGATGGTTAACATGGTTCTCTAGGGGTTATCCTAGAAAGGAGAAAATTAGTCTTGTGCCTTTTTATATGTGTCTGGAGAAGCAATTTGCTAATTTTGGACTCCATTTCAGCTTCTGGAGGTAGTTAGTTCTGGTGTCCAGTCTTCCACCCTTTCCTTTTCAGTCTGAATGCTTGTGTTTTGTTTGTTCTGTGGATGGCAATTTTATTAGTATTAGATGATCTCTAATTTAGTCTTGAAACTGTTCTTACACTTCTTTCTCCTCCCCTGGTTCATCTGAACATTATTTTCTACCAGTAGGAGCTTCCATCCCTTCTTGAACCTTTGTGTTTTCTGTGTATGTCTGTGTCTGACTTTTATCTGTATTATTTAATTTGTCTGGTTCCACATCTGTCTGAAACAAAGTGATTCCAAGTGATTCAGAAGCAAATTGATCCGTAATAAAGGGGATAATGCTAGCCCTCTGTCAAGTACTTAATAGTACAGAATGGGATCCACAATTCTGCCTGTTCCTTATATTTTGTATCAGGGTAAAACAGATGAACAGTGCTTTGGGTGTCAGATCTCATCAAGACATACAGCTGTTCTGTCCAGCATACACCCTAATCTGTATTACTGTGACATTATTTTATCTTCACGGTTTGCAACTTTGATAGTTACTTTTTTAAACTCAGTGCAGCTTCATATAAGTACTAAATTACAGTGCACATTATGGCAGGTTACTCTGAAGCTGACATTAACTATCATTACAGTTTAGGAGGAAATATGATTGCTAGATTTTACTGCACTGATGATCCACCTAAAATGCTATAACGTAGATTATTAGATTTTTCCTTAATTTCTTTTAAACTTCCACAATTAACAGTTTCTTCTAAACTTTGAAACACTGCTTAGAACATTCTTATTGATAGAGTTGCATTTACAACTTGATAATTACATAAATTGTTTAATATTTACCTTGGGATTTAAATGTCATCTGGGAAATTTAATGAATTCATTATTTCAGGTTACTAATGCAAAGTTAGACAAGTGAGGATTTCAGATTCATGACCAGATCTTTAACTGATGATGTCTCTGGCAAATACTAATGGGTTGCTAATGTCAGAAGCATGGTCTAGAAGCTGGTGTGCTTCTCCTTAATACAACTGAGTACACAAAGGTAAACAGTTCCTTGGTGTGCTTTATATTTTAGAAGTCCTACTTGCAGGATTAAGCATTTCAGCCACTTTGTGTTTTGAGGATTGTTGTAAAGCTGGCAACTGAACATGCACGAGAGCAGTGGTTAAAAGAAATCCTCTGTTATGGAAATTAACCTCAGCTGTCCCAGCTGTTCAGTCAATGGAGTTCTGTACAAACTGGCTTTTACCAGGTAGAATATGTAATGCAGCATGACTTTAGCAAAGATTAAAAGTCCTGAATATGTGAACTTAACTTGAAACTGCAGCCAGACATGAGGTACATCAGGATTGATGCAGCTGTTTTTCCCAGACAGTGATACTGATGACTGTGGCCAAAAGTGTGCTTTACTGATGGATAGTTTTTTTAAAAAAATTAATAAAACTTACTCCTCTTCTTAGAAGGTTAGGTCAGAATTATACCACTTCTGGAAATCACCTTGTACCAGTGGAAATCTTGGTCATCTGTTTGAGTTGATAAGTTATCATGCTACTCTTAACGTACTGTGCCACTGAGGATACTGCAGTTACTGCAGTTCTCTTTAAATTTTTTATTTAAGAGCTGCCTTCTGTGGTCTGATTCTGTCTGTACCATCCTGAGGAGGAAAAATCTGTGAATATAAGCAGGCCAGTTAGGTAGCTATCCGGAGTTTTAGAAAAACACTAGCTCAAGATACTATTTCAAGGACAGGGATGACTATGGGGTCACTTCATGAGGGAAAAAGGCACAGCATTTCTTTTAAATGCCTAGAAATATCAAAAGAGCAAATAAATACTTAGAATCAGAGGTAAATATATGCATACACCTGTGAGATAGCACGTGCTCCTTTGCATATGGTAACTTTCATGGGAATCATCCTTGGAGAAGTTAAAGGCAGGGAGACTGCAGATATGTTTTTTTCTCAGGGAGGTGGAGTTTCATGACTTTGACGCTGAAAAATAAGTCTGAATATAATTTCTGCGAGTGTTGAGATACAGTTTATTAGCAAAAATGTAATACATGAATTTAAGAAATCTGAGTACTTTTTTCCTGACTCCTTTTGTGCTGAGTGCTGTGAGGTTCTTAAGGGAGTATATTTATATATTTTATCTATCTATATTAGGTATATATATAATATTTATAATAGCAAGAGTATATTGTAATAAAATAAGTACAGCAAAAGGGGCTGTATTTCTCATTTTCTACAGAAGAGGTTACAAAAACCAGGGTGAGAGCTTGTTTCCCCATTTTACTGATGCACAGTCAGACCAAAGCACTGTGTATTTAATATTCATATGTGTGAATCGTATTTATGTTACATCAGAATGACTGTGCCTGTTTTGCATGAGGTCCCTACTTAAAGGAGAAAAAATAATCAGTGTGTCCTTGTACAGGATACAAAGAATGGAGTCAAAACCCTCAAGAATTCCTCGCAGAATATCTGTTCAGGCTTCCAGCTCTTCCCTAGGATCTAGGACATTGACTGGAAACAGTTTAGCTGGTGCATATAGTGCAAGAGAATCTTCATGGAGATTAGAATCTGGATACCAGGTAATGTTTTTTTTTTCTTTTTGTACAGTATAAATTAATTTCAAGTGTTTTTTTTTAACCAAGAAAAGCCCCAAAACTCAGATGAAAAAAAATTCTAAAGTGCAAGAATTTAATAACCAGGCCAATGACAGTAATCTGTGAAACTACTACTGTGAACTAGTAGTTCTATATCTCTATTGTTACCTGCTTGTGTTTGTAGCTACACCTTTAGAAATCAGCTGTTTGATGACTAAAGGGGCATCCTGATACTGTGGATCTGTTTTGGCATGAGTCACTGCCATTGTAAACCTGGGTAAATGTGGTTTTCTGTTAAGGGGGGGTTGAGTGTTTTGTTTGATCTTAGGTGTGTATAGGACATTACACTTGATGATGCAGAAATTATAGGACTCTGTTTTGAGTTAAGGAAGCTGTGCCTCTCTGCAGCACCTCCTGTGTTTGTATTTTGTGAAGGTAAGAAGAGGAGCTTTAGGCTTCCATCAGCCTAAACACTTTACCTGTCAGTGTGCTAGTGCAACTGGGCTCTGTGTGCAGTAGACAGGGCTGAGGGAAAGGCCTTTGGTTGGTTCACGTGCAGCATTTCACACTGCCAAAACTGCGTTTTTTGGGGGCAAGGAGCCATGCTCAAGAGGAATTACTCACACTGTGCAGGTACTTTCACTTTTGGAAGAGTATTATGGGAAGGAGAGATTACTCTACTTTTGAAATTACTTTGGGCACTTGGAAGCCACAGATAGCAGTTCAGCTCAATTACTTTACTAGTTTGTTTCTGCTCCTGTCAGCAATTCTCACCTCAATTTTGGGCCCAGAAGTATAAGCCCATTTTGATCTTTGAAATTGCAGAAACTTAAATCTGTAATTAAATGTTCATATTTAAAAAAAAAATGGTTAGGAGTTTGCTCTCTGCTGACAAGCTATCTGGGACATTGTGTTACGTAATGCCTTTTTCAGAAACAGTTTTGCAAGTAATGGAACATTATTTTTAGCACAAGTACACATAGATGTGTTAAATTTTTGTTATCTCTGGCATGCACATGTTCATTAGCACATAGGCTGTAGGGAATGTGTGAGGGCAAGCAGCTGTCAGTTGGTTTTGGTTTTTGGATTCCCCCATGTTTTTCATGGGCTGGCTCCTTTGCAAAACCAAATCAAACAGCCTTAATCTTTTGTAGGAATTTATGGACACAGTCCACACACAGTGTACATATACTGAAAGCTGTTGATCAGAAGATGAGTCTTCAGTTGAACTGGTTCTGTGAAGTTTGATGTGTTACTACTGTTAAGAAATTTTAACATAGCTTACATTATTTAGTTTATTACACAAACTGCCATATGTTCACTGCCCTGCGTATTCTTGACTATTTCCTGTTGAGCAAAGTGCTTCTGATCTGAGGAATGATCTTTATAACATTTAGGGGAAAGTATTTGTATAGAAGATTATGTTGTATCCCTTTCCACTCTCAGTTCATAGAAGGTAGTCTGAAACCTTGTAACACAAGATTAGTGCTTAGTGATAAAAGCGCAGGGAAACTCCCTCTCTTGACTAACTTTTGATACTTACAGAGCTGGTAGGAACAAATTACATTAGTGCTTGTAAATTAAGATTACAGAGACTAGGGTGTGAAGAAACAAATAGTCTAAATAAGATTAAGTCCAGTCAGATAGGAATGGAAAGGACAGGCGTTTTCGATTTGTTAATTCATTCAGAAACCTACCTTAAAATATTTAAGAGCTACTTCAGTTACAAATCATTTAAGATTTGTCATTTATAAGAAAAAACATGTAACTATCAGTAATGCTTTGGATATAAAGATGAAAGGAACTTGGGGACTTGGCTTTTAAATACAGAGTAATTTCTATAGAGAGAATATTTGATTGTAACTTAACTCAAAATTTTGGGACAGAGCAGTCAAAATTTGAGTATTTGGTTTTGAGTAGGGCTAAAAAAATAAGAAAGGTTTCTATTTTTCTCCTTCCCTTTCTTTTTCATATAGGTGTGAATTTTTGTATGTCGTGCACTTCTGAGATCAGTCTGGGGACTAGCCTCTGCTTCTCTGAGGAAGCAGAACAAAGAGGTTAATTGTAAACTAATCAGATGTATGTGATACAGCTTTGTTTCTAGGTGACTTAAAATATCAAAAATAAAATTAGTGTAATGGTATGAGAAGAAATTCCTATGCTTTATGTTACAACATAGTAAACATTTTGTGAGAAATGAATTGTAAGGTGTGGTTTTTTTTGTTTTATTGGTTTTGTTTGTTTGGTTTGGTTTGGTTTGGTTTGGTTTGGTTTTTTTTTTAATGGCAGGATAGGGTCAAATGTAGCTTATAAAATTGTTATGAATCTTTTCCCGATCACATTTTTCTGCTACTTAGACCCCAGATCAACACCAAAATAAACTACATTAGGTAGTGCTTTAATTGTTAAGTTCTCGGAAGGGATGTTAACTAGTCTTAAGGTGAATTGAAGGAAGAAAGCAGACAGATTTCTTTTGTTGTTGTTCATTTGTTTTGGTTTTGTTGTTGTTGTTATTTCAGATATAGCAATTGGTTGGAGGATTCCTGACATCATACCTGATAATCTACTTTCTCTTAAAGCCACTTTTTTGATTCCCAGTATGTTACTTTTTTTTCTCTCTATGTTGGCTTTGGGACATCTGTCAAAGAAATGAGCCCTGTGCAGAGGTGCCACAGCTACCAAAAACTGCTTGGCATTAGGATGGTAGATGATGTAGCTCCATGACTGGGCTTTCAGAGTTGTGCTGGTCTGAGTGTGGTGTTCTTGAATTAGGTTCTTTAGCATAGTGATCCAGACACTTAAAATGAGATTCTCACATTTTCAGAATCTAGCAGATGAAAAGGGAAAGGCAGGTGTTTCAAGATCAATTAAGTCTGCAGGTATGGCTCATAGTAAGGACATTTTAAGAGAGCTTTACTTTTATCTTCAAGTTGTTCAGTCTTCTGCCCATGGGCTGATTATCCATATGTGAAATAATCTGGAAATATGATGAATCCCACTGAGACTTGAAAATATGAGGTTTAATTTTGCTTGTGAGAATGATGAGCCATGAATATTTCTTCAGCTTTTTAAATCCCAATCCTATGACTTCTAAGAAATGGTGACAGCAACTACTGTGTTTGTAGTATTAATAGTTTGTAGAAAGAGAATGGACAAATAATCACTTAGAAATGCTTCTTAGTATTAATAAAATGGTTGGATTTCTGTTATTTCTGTTAATTTTATTAATCTCAGTGATTATTCGATGGAACAAATTAAATTGCAGTGTCTTTCCTCAATTAAAATATATTCATTGGAATTCAGTCTGATAGTCCAGAGCCTCATTCCTTAGGTTCTCTTAAAGACAGACATACTTGTATGTTAAATGGTTCCCATTTTAATTGTTAGAAACTCGCCTCAGCAGCCCAGGGGAGGATTAGAGCTCTGATTTTGGAAGAGAAAACACAAAAAGAGAACAGTTGTGGTGGTTGCCCTGCAGACTTCCTCAGACTTCGGATAATGTGAGCACTTTGTTCTCAGGAAATGCAGCAAACTCTGCTTATTTGCAGGACTGTTTTGCCAAACAGTCCTGGTTTGTTATGCGTATCAAATTGTGGAATCAGTATTTGTGTCTGAAGTAGGCTGCGTAACCCATTTACCTTATTTCTTTAAGTGGTTTTATATGCCGTGCTGTTCACTGTTTTGTGGTGACCTTTGATATTAGTGATTTACAAAAAGCTTAGACGCACAAAAGTTTTGATTTTGTAATGGAAAATGGAAGTTTATTTTTGCTGCTTGCATGGAGTGTAATTGGAATTAATAATGGTTGCTTTTCAGTCCTTCTCTATGAATAGCATAATGATGGATTATTAGAATAGACTGCAGAGAAATAAAAACCTTAAATAGTGGTTAAATGGAAGTATTTAAGACTCGGAGAAGATACTGTGTAGTTTGCAGGAGCATTTTTAACGAATAGTAACTTGGTGACATAGTTTACATTTGTTGTACAATCTCTTTTCCTTGGACAGATCATGCTCCTTATATAACAATAATTATCAGTTAGTAGGCTCTTTTTCTTCTTTCCCTCCTACCTCTTTGCACTGCTCTTTTCTGTATTAAAATTGATGACCAGGACATGACAGATTACTTTAGTGGCCAGATAGGTGCATTTGTTGTCATGGAGACTTCTTCTACATAGGTGGGGTTTTTTGCACAACACTTGAAAGTGAGGCCTTTAATTCTGCCCTGTTGCTGCAGTATCTAAGTTGGGATAACAAAGCCTTACACTTTTTACTGTCTGTGGTCAAGTGAGAGGACAGATGAAGGAACTGATCATTGCTATGAAGTACTTTAACCAAAAAAATCTTTCCTTTTGCCAGTGCTTCTCTCTTAAGCCTGTTTCATTTTTTGGCTGTGCCTTGGGATTTCTTACTAAAGGTTTCCAGATGTGTTACTGCCTCCACTTCCTTGTATTTTCAATATTCATATCAGATGCTGAGTTGATTGTGAGTTACAAGATGCATACAATAAGTATGTTGTTCTTCAGGAACCCAGTGTATTGAATAGTTCCAGTAGAGACTGGGGAATTGGAGAAAGAGAGACCCACGAGACTCCGTGGAAGCTTTCAGTGTCCTCTCCAACCCGCTACTCAGGGACACTCGATCATCCACATTCTGGAAGATTTTTGGGAAGCAGGAGCAGATTGGTGAGAATTGTTAATGTGTAATACCTGAAAAAAATATTTAAACCCAGGGTTTTACTTTAGCCTTCCCAATCTGACAAGCTGCTATCAGGGGCTCATTGTAATGTTTCTGGGTAAGCCAAGATGGAGCAAAAGCTAGAAGATACCAGTGTTAAGAAATTATTCAGAGGATAAAAATAGTAATGCATACTAGTTTTAGTAAGAGTTAATAAATAAATTTGAAGTGAGTGGCTCTGCAAATGTCCATTTAAAAAGAAAAAAGGAGGGGGTAATTAGACTCTGATACATGTTACAAGTCCCATGGATGGCAACATTATTATTTATACTCAGCTTGTTCCATCAGGTATTTCAACGGGTTGTGGATTTTGGATGGTACCAGTTCTGTGAGTTAACACAAAGTTGGTGGATGTGAAGACCTGCTTTAAGAAACTTAATTGTGGAGGAGTAGTTAATAGTCTTCTTGTGCTTACTGATTACTGCTTACATTATACTGTGAAAGAAAATGGAGGCTTAATTGTTTACATGAGATTCAAGGCTCAGGCCTTAACAGCTTGTCATAACTGGTTTCTAGAATGTGCCTTTGTAACTCCAAAAATAAAGTAGTTAGTTTGTGCCATGCTTATACGTTGTAGAGTGATAATAAAACACTTCTAAGTGCAGTACAAACATTAAGATGGGAAAAGCAGAAAACTGAGCAACTTTGATGGGATGGTAGTGAACAAGTAAGAATTCTGCTCACTCTCAAACTGAAAGTTTGGGTACATAAGAGTGCTGGAATCGTTAAAGAGGTGTTTGTTTTCTTAGGTGACTTGAAGGTGAAGACACTGAAATAATGGGGAGGGGGAGAGAGAAACTAGTGTGCATATGCTGCCCTTCAGGGGAAGCCATGGTCAGTGTACTTAAATGGAAATGGAATCTGTGGTTGTAAGTGGTCTACATACCTAGTTCAGTTGATGCTATAGAGTTTTCAAGATGAATATCTTTTTTTTTTCTCCATTAAGGTTAATATTTCTCTTAAATTTCAGTGAACATTGCAGAAGACACTCAGAAACTTCCACTTCTCAAATTGTAAATGACTAAAAAATAAATAATATGTTAAGTAGAGGATTCCTAAGGGAAAATAACCTAGCTTTGTACTTGGTTTTTGTTGTTGGTTTCTGCGTCTCCCTATCTGTCTTTTATGATGGGATGAGAGAAATACCTAGATACTTTTTAGTTTGAAAGAGTTGTGGCTTAAATTTAGTAAAAACCATGACAAAATAACACCCTATAGCTATAACATATCCTGCAATTTGGTTGATCCTTAAAGGATCTTGGTTGTAGATAGTTTTTGGAGAAGACAAGCAGCTCAATTGTGCTTTATATTGATCTCAACTTTTTTTTTTTTTAATATATATGAAAAAATAAATCCAAACCATTTCAAATAGAAAAGGAATGCCTTGGCTGCAAGTAACCAGACAAACAGCTTTATAGGCTATCCCAATTTTTTTTCTAAGTAGTAGGGTACTAGTTTCTGAAAATGTTTTATTTCACTGTTCTACACTGCAAAAATTGTTTCGTACCTGTTCTTTACTCTGAACTGCTTCAGTAGCACTTGGGCTTATTGCAATCAAAATATACCTGTTTCAAACAGTTTACTTGAAGCTCACTCCTTGTCGTGGTTTTGTCCTGGCTCAATTTACTTTTACACCCCTCATACAATTACTATCAGTTGAGAGAAGGTTTATGCAGACAAAAAGAGACTGAATAAAAAAAAGTATGAGTATTTATTATTAACAAACTAAAACTAAAGAATTATATTTACAACAATTCTACTTAAGTAAAAGGTATTATGTATTTACAGAAGATACTTCTCCCCCCACTTCCCTTTATATCAGTCCAAGGAGGAGAAGCAGTCTTTTTCTGTTCTCAGAATTCCAGCTCTCTCTCTCCAGTAACTCTGTAGCACTTTTGTCGCAGTTGGAACTTCTTTATCTCTCTCTCATTCTGTGTTGGCCTCCAGGGCTGGGCCTACCCCCCTCCTGGGCTAAAACCGAAGGCTGGGGGTTACCCAGGTCCTGAAGGGTCTCCTTCCATAGGCTTGCAAGGGGACACTTGCTTACTATGGATCTTCTTCCACAGAGTTACAGGGGATAATGGTTTAAGAGTTCACCCCTGTTTCCCTATGGAGGTCCCTCCCCATGGGAGAACAGTCCTTGATTGACTTCTCGGCATGGGTCCAGTCTGGATCCCTTACTTGGATCTCAATATCCCACCTGAGCCATTTCTGCTCCAGCGTAGGTTCTCTCTAGCACCAGTAGCACGGATCCCACACATGGATCCCAACATCCCTACCTGAACCGTTTTGTGTTCCAGCGTAGGTTCTAATACCCGTCAGGGTCATAAATCTTCAACAGCAGCAGCATGGATCTCTCACTGAGATCCCAAGTTTATCTGAGCCGTCTCGCTCCAGCATAAGCATCGTCCCCTTCGAGGGTCACAAAGTCTTTAACAGGACTCTGCCTCATCTGAGCCGCTTTTACTCCAGCATAAGGCTTTCTCTCTGTTAAAGTCACAAATCTCTGGTGCATCCACAAGCTCCTCTATGAGCCGCACGGGAGGTCTCTTCACCCCAACAAACTTTCACAGGTGGCAGGGATTTTATTTTTCAGTCTTTACCCTGCTGAAGGGAGGGAGAGCGAAAAGGAGAAAAACAGCAGTTCTCCCCCCTTTGAACTTTTCTTCTCTCTCCTGCGACTGCAGCTTTGACCTTGGAAGTTCTCTTATCTCATGGCTGGAATTCTTCTACAGCGGTTTCTCATCTAAGCAGTTCGTCTTTTAAACCTTTTTTTCTTCACTCTCTCACAAGAGAGAAGGGAGGCTTCAGTGCTGCACCTGCCCCCCCCCTGGCCCAAGCCGGGGGAGGAGGGGGCCTTGGCCCTCCTCGGGCCCACCGTTTCTCTCCTACATGGCTGCTGTTCCTAATTTCAACTGCGCAACAACCTTCTCTTCCGTTTTCTTAAAGATGTAATTAGCAAAGGCGTCACTGAACTTTTTGATTGGTTTTTTTGTCCGGAAATCACCTGGACAAAACCATCCTCAGCCCCAGGGATGGGCTGGTGGGCAAAACCACGACACTCCTTAACTAATTATACTTTAGGTTGCTAAAAATAAGTTGGAATAGTTAAACTGTTAAATAAAAGAATGTTGCTGATTGATTTTTGGCAATGTCTGGACAGCAAAATTATGTTCTCTTGAAGATCTGTAAAGCTATATTTGATTGTGTTTATAGCATCTTAGAGGCCAGGAATATAATTTTTTCCCTGTAAGCCATATCTGTCTATAAAGGAAAAATGATACTTGAATGTCATGGGAACTGGCTTTTTTGGTAGGACTGTATTGAGTAAACCTGGAAATACTGATTAAGAGTGCAAGCACAACTCCTAAGTTATTTTTAAAGAAAAGGTTTTATATCTAAGACTTACTCTATACTATTTTTGTGGATTTTACATTATGTACACTTTTGTTCAGTGTAAGCCCATCTGAAATACTGTGTAATTTTTTAATGTTATTTCAGTCGACATCGTCTTCCTCTCATTTTACATCTGGATGTTATGGTGAGTCTGAGAGAACTCAAGGAGCATATTCAAGACAGCAGCAAGACAGTGATTCAAAGAGACCTAAGCTATCGTGTACATCTACCTCTTCTGTGAGAAGTAATGGCTTGTCTGCCTTTTCAGGTGAGAGGTTGATTACTTGAGCTGAGTTACATCGCAGTTGTCTGAGTAGTAAGATCAGGTTTTATCAAGTTTTAAAAGACTTGCTTTGATATATTATGCCTTTATTATTCTTAAATAATAAAAGCCTATGCCTATCAGAAGAGTATGTGCGTAATGACAGCAGTATCCCAAGTACCAAGAATGCTCTTAACATGGTCTTTTGAAAACCCAGTTGTACTCATGTAATTTCAGAATTTTTACCTGTGCCTATTCCATTTGCAGTAAAGCTGAACTTCGTGGCTCAAGTATGTCTTAATTGGTTAACATTTCAAGGAAAGAATGAGTGCAGCTGCTCTTATTTCATGAGTCAAATTGTGTTGGTACATCAGTGTGTGCCAGGGAGTGCAGAAAAGAAATCTTTACTGTATTTAGTAATATGTTCCAAGCCCAGTGTTGTGGCTGGTTAGAGCACTGTGGGTAGGGGTCAGGGAAGAAGTTCTTTTTTTAGCAGGGCCTAAATTCATTCTGTAAGCCACACAAAAAGAAACATTCTAAGAGCTCTTAAGTGAAGACCTGAGGTTTTCGTTAAAGGTATCTTGAAGTAAGTTGGTGGAACTTGGATAGACAGAATTTAAGCAATATGCCAACAAAAGTCTAAAACTCGGGAAGTAACAGTCAAAAACTTGCGCTAAAAATATTTCTAGAACATTTTGAAAAAGACCATTAGTTTCATTCAGACTACCCTTATAAGCATGGATTAATGTCCCCTTCTGGAACCTCACAGCCAATCTAAATAAAAGTAAGTTCCTACTTAAACCCCAGTATTAATGATGCTTTCTGACTCTGTTAATAAGATGACAACTGTTAGCATTTCTCACTGTGGAGTAGAACTGTTTGTCTTTCCATTTCTAGATTGGTTGGTCATTATGCTGCTGACCAAGGAATGCTTAAATTAGATTTCTAAGTTAGCAGTGAACAAAATCAAGGTGAATTTTTCAGAACTGTTGAAGAACACTTATTTGGAACAAGAGTTTTGTCCACAGCTGAAGTGTGTACAGTTCCCTATGTGGTGGTTGAAGCTGTTTGTAAAAAAATAACATCCTTTTTTACACTGAATTGTTTTACTCTGTAATAAAAACTGTATTAGTAATTGTTCTTAAAGTTGTGTCTAAACTACATTTAAGCTTCAGCTGTCTTTGTGGAAAATGAATTTTGGAAGCATTTAAGTAGCATCAAGAAGAATGGCAGCATTTACTAAGCGTCAGGCTGCTGTTTTTGCTATGTTGTGAAACCTGTGTAAGAACTTGCTACCATGAGGAAGCAAGATGCTACTTCTCTTTGTCCCGTCTGAGTGTTAATGGGTCTGACTCTTCACAAAACTATTATTACTTTTCATTTGGCTTTCAGAACTCACTGCAAGATTAAGTGCGTGCCAGGGTCAGCAGAATGCTGCTCATTCTGGGCTTTATGTTTGCCACTGACCACTTAATCAGTTTAATGGTAATGTTAAACTCACTGTTGATGTGGAATAACAAAAATGCATGTGCAAGTGCCAACTTTAATGGATGATTACCAAAACAGAGGATTTATTTACTTTTTCTTTCTAGATTCCTCATGGAGATGCAGTAGGATTCCTAGGTCTTCATCAGTGATGCGAAGAGAGTTAGAAAGAACAACAGATCTGTCTGTTAACAATGTGGTGGATCCGACCTACAGAAACAGTGACTTTTCACCTTCAACATGTATGAATTGTGCAACTGAAAGCTTGTAAATCTACAGTTTGTATCCCTTTTAGTTACTGAACATGTTTGTAGAATCACAGAATGATTTGGTTTGAAAGGGATCTTTAAGCTCATCTTATTCCAACCCCCTGCCATGGTTAGGAATACTTTGCACTATACCAGTTTGCTCAAAGCCACGTCCATGAACACCTAAGGGATGGGATGTCCACATCTTCTCTGGGCATGTTAATATTTTACTCAAAACACAAACCCAAAATATCTTTTTAATTTTAAGGTATCCTTTTAAATAAGGTTGGTTGGCCACTTGGCATGCATTGGCAAAACCACTAAAGGATACATAAATGGTCTACCTTGTAGATGCATTCAGTCATGTCAAAGTGGTGCTCACCATTGTAACTGTGTGATTAGTTAGTAAGGCTCTTTTCTACTTTAAGATCACTTTGTATTTAGGTATGGGAAAAAAAATAATGTTAATTTGACCCAGGAAACTTTTTTCCTAAAGGTGCCCATGGCATATTATCTCTTTTCATTTGTGTTCTCAAATGGGTATTAGGGAACACCCCTAGACCACTGAAAATAAAAATGAATGAACAAATATTTTGCATGATGCAAGAGGTTTGTCTCATGGCAGGTGATGGGATTCGTAAGGACTTCTGTGCTGTAATTGTCATTTTCTGTTCAAAGTGTTGTGGCCTTCTAGAGTTGTTTCTGGGGAAACTCATCGTCAATCTTGATCTGCTACCTTTTGCAGGTGTATTCAGTGATATTTTTTAAAGCAGAGGTTTAAAAAAATGTCATTTTTATAATTATAGAAGATAAGCAGAAAAGCTAAAAACTAGTTCCGCATTTCAGCCTGCAGTCCTGCCTCAGCAGAGGAGTATGTTTTAATGTCATCATACTCTACACTTCTTTAGTAAAGTGGACAGTTCAGATTACATGATAGAGCCTAATGAGAGAAGTGGATAAGTGAACAACCGTGCTTTATACTGTCCCTGCTGCATTTCTAGCAGTAGTGCTGCTTTTAAGTGCTGTAAAAATAACTCGTGACTGTGTTCCCTGCTGTGTAATCAAAACTGTATGGCAGATGCTTGGCATCTGTGCAGATATTTCTTTAGTTAAAATCTGCCAGATGCATAAACCTCAGCTTCAGCAATAAATGGTGATTGCAATGTAGAACCCATAAAAAAAAGTAACCAAAACTACAAACATGAAAGGTTTCAATTCCAGAATCATAGAGAGCTTCTGTTTCCTACCTTCATCTACCTATGCTTCTTCTTCCTCCCCCCTTTTCCCATCCCCAACCTCCAAATCTAGCCATTTTAGAAGGGAGACTATCTGATTTTAACCACCTCAGATGATTCATGTAGTGTTAACTACATTTCAGCTACAGTGGAGTTCTTCTCAGTGTGTTGAGGTACTTGGACAGTATTTACAGAAAATACACTTGTAAGAATCATAGAATGTTTTGGGTTGGAAGGGACCTTTAAAGTCCATCTAGTCCAATCACTCTGCAATGAGCAGGGACATCTTTAACTAGGTCAGGTTGCTTGGAGCCTTTTTGAACCTGACCGTGAGTGTCTACTGCTGTGTTAGAGCACATCTTGTCATTGTATTTTTCTCTGTTTTTCTGCAACAGACCTTCAAGACAGACCTGCCTCTTCATATGCAGAGGGAGCAAGACCAAAAGAGAGCTCCTTAAGCACTTTGAGGCTGAATGCATCCGTGAACCACCAGTTGCCTTCTGATCATCAGCCATCTTTTTTCAACAGAGACTCTAATATGAGCTCTTCAAGATCCAGCTATTCTTCAAGACAAAGGAGAAATGAATTAGAATTTCCCCAGAGGAGCATGCACCCAGCATTTTCTCTTACTGCCATGAGAGATGAAACCCCTTCCTCAAGGGGTTCTGAAAGGGTTTTATCTTCCCAGAGGTCACCGAATGAGTCTGCAGCTGACAGTGAAGGGAGGCGCACAACCAGGCAGCTGCTGTCCCGTTTAGCATCTAGTATGTCATCTACATTTTTCTCTCGAAGGTCGAGCCAAGACCCATTGCATACAAGATCATTAGGCTCTGAAGAGTCAACAGTGGTCCCAAGAGTTCAGGCTTCTACTCTGTCGAGTAGTAATGGAGCTGCAACTCCAGAAGTTCCAGGACTTCAGTCGTCTGAAGCTTCTCAGGGGTTTAGTTTTCTTGGACGAAGATGGGGTTTATCAGGAGTTTCACAGAATCGCAACTCTGATTCAGATGGGGACAGCTACAGACCAGACTCTGAAAGTAGGAGCGCAGGATCCTGGTTGTCATCCTCTTTGAGGAACAGATGTACACCTCTCTTTTCTAGAAGAAGAAGAGAAGGAAGAGATGAATCTGCAAGGATCTCTACCTCTGATACAACTGCTAGATCGCAACATGTCTTTAGAAGGAGAGGGTCAGGTGAGGAGACCTCTCTTGAAGCATCAGGTAGCCCTCCTCGGGCTTCTGTTAGCAGACCACCACCACCTGCAGTGTCTGGTATTTCTACAGCTACTGCCTCCCCACCAGATTCAGCCCACAGTAGAAGTTCTGGAATTCTGCCTGGTTCTCTCTTTCGCTTTGCGGTGCCTCCGACATTAGGAAGCAGTCTATCTGACAATCTTATGATAACTGTAGATATTATTCCTTCTGGCTGGAATCAATCTGATGGACAAGAAAGTGGCAAGTCTAAAGTACTACCTTCAAGAGATCCAGAAAGACTTCAGAAAATTAAAGAGAGGTAAATTAGTAATTTTTTTGAGATAGTAAAATGTACCTGTCTTAAGATGAGAGGGCTTTCTGCACTCGTGATTTTGAAAGAAAACTCTCCTTCAGAGGAGGCAGCAACTCAGTCCCCTGTCACCTCTATTCTCACTTTTGTCTTTACAGAAGCTTGTTTTAAGCTGCTTGGTTTGAGAACAGTTAGATAAATAGAATTTTCGTTATATAAATCTTTCATGAAATGTGTTACAGTGTTTATTGGTATTCCTTCCTATTCAGCCTGCTTTTAGAAGATTCTGAAGATGAAGAGGGTGACTTATGCAGAATCTGTCAAATGTCCTCTGCAAGTTCTGACAACCTTTTAATAGAGCCATGCAAATGCACTGGAAGTCTTCAGTATGTTCACCAGGAGTGCATGAAAAAGTGGCTTCAGTCCAAGATTAATTCAGGTAAAGCAGACCCTCGACCAAGGTAGGCTTCCAGTTATATAGGGAGGCCTATAAGAAGGATTGCACTTACTGAGATATTTAGTTGAAAAACGAGAAGTGGGGACAAACAGCAGTGTGGCACTTCCATACTTATTGTGTGTCTGTACAGTTTCTCATGTGAGTAGTTCCAAGAACTGTTTGTTGTTTTGAGAATTACATTTTTAGGGTTGTCTTTTAAGGTATTAGACAAAGTACACAGACGAAGTGTAGCCTTAGAACTACTCTGTCACTTTGGTGGTACTGCTTGGGGTGGAGTTTGCTCCCCACCCTTCCTTATGAGTATGGTTGTGCTTTTTTGCAAGACTTATATAGCCAAGCTGACTGTAGCAGAGCAATAAGAATTTTAAAATCCAGAAATGTTTTTCAGTTGTAAATAGACTTAAGTACTTTATTTTTTTTTTTAAACATACTAGCTCTTGTTCAAGGCACTTTAAAACTACTTGTTCAAAAACTACTTCAAAGTGCGTATAGGATTTTTTAAGAAACACTTCACACATTGCACACTGGGAAAAAATTTTTGTAATAAATTGATTGACCAGTTTATAACTAAGTTATCTGCAGTATTGGTAGAAGACACAAAAATCATGGAATACTTTTTACCAAATGAAGGTGCTAGCATCTGTTTGCTTTTTTACTCAGTATCAGAGGATACACATCAGAGTAGGGATGTATTAGAAGCCTCAGCCTATAGAAGAAATTAATTTGAGGTATTTAACTGTATTGTAAAGACATAAATCCACCATCACCTTGCTTTGTTCACCTGGTTGCTTATGGAGCAGCTTGTTTTAGAACTGGTACTTAAGACAAAACGTTACTCTGACAATAACTTTAAGCTATTCTGGTATATTTATTCTTACTTTTGTGTGCATTTTGGATTACGCGGTAAAATTCAACAAACCCAAGAAGTAATTTTATGCCAGACTTCCAGTAAGAGGCTTGTTGTATCCAAAATGAATATGAGGCAAAATAGGTGCAGCCATATAGAGGAAAAATGTTCCACAGCATTTAAATTTTGACAGTAGCAGATGTCACTACATTTAGAGGCTTTCTTTTCTTCTAACCTTGCTCTGCAAAATAAAGCCAAAACTTATACTTAGAGTTTGCAATGTTTGTATGATTGTGTCATACATTCTTAAAACCCCTTGCTCCCCTCCTCACCAGGTTCTTCTTTGGAAGCAGTGACAACTTGCGAATTGTGCAAGGAGAAGTTACATCTGAATCTGGAAGACTTTGACATTCATGAACTCTATAGGGCACATGCAAATGAACAAGTTAGTATCTTTTACTTAATTTGGTAAGTGTTGGTTTAGTGCTGGGAGGACAGTCTTCTTTAAGAAGGCAAATGCATCTCTATTTCAGAAGGACTGTTATGCATAGAAACTAATGTCAATGTGGAACAGATTTGTCTCCTCAATATTCAGACCAGTTCTGTCTTTCTGCTCTGCTTCCTATAGCTGAGCTTTCAGTAAGTGTGATGTATCTTTTCTCTTAGTTGCAGATCTGCCATCTAGCTTTGCAGCCCCTTGTCTCTATCACATAGGTGCAGTGTGAATTCCATTACGATTAGATTGAATTTCGTGGGAGCCCCTGGTGGTCTAGTGGTTAAGGGCGCGGCGCTGTCACCGCCGAGGCCCGGGTTCGATTCCCGGTCAGGGACACTCCCGGGCCAGATGGAGCTCGTTAACCCTGTAAAAAGGCAATCCATCTACGTCCTGAGGACCTCGCTGCCACCGTCCAAGCTCGCTTGGCCCCGGCAGATGAACCTTAGGATTAAAGGGTGGGCTCAGTTCCGCGCACACTGTGCCTCACCTAAAAAATCCAATGCGCAGGCTGGAAGGTGTAAAGACCTTCCCCGGATCTTCGCTCGCGAAGACTGGCCATTATTATATTATAGATTGAACTTCACATTGTCATGAGTTGTCTTTGCTTTTAGCTGAAGACACTTAGTGGTTGTTTGGAATGTACCATTACAAACTTTTTGTGTTTTGTTGAAGTGATAGGAACTAACCTCTTTTCTAACAGCTTCTGACTGCTCCTTCAAGTTGTTTCCTAAATTAAAAATAATCAAAGGCCCATTAGTATTACTCTTGTTATAGAAAATACATTATCTTAGAACTACTGGATTGTGTAGTATTTAAAATGAGTAAATAACACAAAGCTGGTGTTTTTAGTTAACTTTATGCAGAGGGGTTTCCTTATTCTCTGGGTTGTATTCTGAGAATATATAAAGCCTACCTCAGAAGTTGAAAGAGAATACCAAGTAACATCAGTTTTGAGGCAAAACATCAACCTCTATGTTTTTTTATTATTTTAAGTTCTTATGCTAGTACCCATAATTCCTATCACTTGGGACAGACTCTGAAACTTTCTTGAGAGTGCCATCATCTTATGTTTTAATACTACTGATTATTGGTCACTGTCACTGTACTTAATTAGAAATAAGCTTTGAATTTTTTTTGTAAAAGGTTGACTAAATTATCTGTTCAGTGCTAGCATTTTTAAAGGTTTTCTTTATCTTGGGGAAAGGAATTTCTCAAAATAATTATAACATCATAGCATTCTGAAAATATATTCCTTTATTTTGGCTTTCTGTAAAGCATTGGAATCACGGAGAAGAAACCAAGAATGTTCATTAATTTTATTTTTCCAAGTGATATAATACTCTGATTCTTTCCTCTAAACTAATCACGCTGAGATTTTGTTTGTAGAACTCTGTTTATCTTCAAGGATAACATGTTAGGTCCAAGGTGCGTGGAAAGAACCAGAAGTATAAATAACTTTTCAGTAATTAAAATTGTTTTGTATTTCGTTTCCCTAATTCTCTTGGAACAACTAGAGATAAATATATAAGCATTCCAGTAAAATCTTATTCTACTTTTTGAATCATATATGCAGATGTATTACTGACATTCTGAATGTTTCTTTTGATCTCTTTTAAGGCAGACTATGAATTTATCAGCTCTGGTCTCTACCTTGTAGTGTTGTTACACTTATGCGAGCAGCGCTTTTCTGACATGTTAGGAACTGCCAACGAGGCCAGCACACGTGTCAGAGTAAGTATGAAGTGATTTTCTGCAGGGATCGTTACCTTGAGTGACCTAGGAGCTAGATACCCAAGAAACATGGTTTTTAAAAGAATTTTAGGTCTAAAATGGGCTGGGCTTGTCAGTGCAGTACCACCATGTTTGATTTGAAACCTGCAGTTACTGTGTTGCAGAATGCTTCTTGTCAAGGTTGTTGGTCATTCATTGGTTTGCATGTATGTTGTCATGATCACTGTGAACTTACACAAAACTGGAATGTTAAACGCTCCCTGTACAAAACATGCAGTTAAGAATGTTGGACTACCTGATTTGTTTAATTTTTCTCATTATGCCGGTCTACATTGCAGAGGTCTAGAACTTGCAGTGATTGTCTCATGGACTACGCCTAAATACGTACTTGACTATGAATATTGTGAAACAGACTATAGCTACAGTATGATTTTTTTGGCATTAGTCTAAACTCCTGTTATTTGTGTTTGACTGTACTCTTGTCACTTAAATGACTTGGCATAGAAACATGCTAAGTGCACATTTTACAAGTAAGAGATCAGCATACAAAGTTCTTCCTGCATAGTGTCTCACTCAGAAATCCAGTATTCTACATGTTTATTTGATACTAGGTAATGAATCAGTACTCTTAGTCAACTGAGCACCTTGAAAAGCTGATCATATCGGGCTTTTTTACTTGGATACAGAGAAGTGACACTATTAAGCTTATCCAGTGGGTATTGGAATGGTTGACTGCCAGCAGGCACTAGGCCTTTGGGGAAGAGGCAGGCCTCTAATCTCTTAAGGTCCTAGAACAGCGGTCCTCTTTTCTGTACACACCTAATGTAAAATTTGTATTCCACGGTCCACAAGTAAAATGTGCAGTTTCCCTGGTGTGAGTGTAGAGATACAAAAGACACATAATCTAACAGTAGCCAGCATCCAGTATAGTACAGCTTGAGTGTATTACAGAAGTTGTTTTTACTGGATTTTCATCAGAGGAGGCATTACATACTTCTGTGTGTGACACTGCATTTTAACCCAGTGAGAGCACCAGTGCTGCTGTTCGATACCAAGCATAAAAGTGAGCAGATGAGACTCATTTTATTTGCTGTGTCTCAACATCTGGACTTGAACTGAAACGGTGATGCAGATTGCCAGTGATAAAAGAAAACCACTTGGCTGAGACATGTTATTCCTAGGGATTTTGGCTTTGGGTTTTAGTACCATGTGCTTCCAACACTAAACTACCACCATTGCCTAATAGTAATCCTGGTCTTAAGATTTTATGGGTAAACAAAAACTGTAACTGTATTCATGCATTTTTCATTAATCTCATTCAATCAAGGACCCTGTTTTGTCATAATAATAGTGAAGTCAATTAAATGGATCCAACCAAATCCTTACCATGATTATGTTTTTCTGCATTACAGCTTTTAGGAATGGTATTCATTAAACTGGCACTTGTTTATATTTGCTGCTTTCAAAACTGATGTGTTTTACAGACTGTAGAACATGAAGATGATGCCACTAACTGCTACCAGAAACGTTTGACATAGAGTGGAAGCTGAAATAACTGTGCAGTAGCAGTTTGAAGTCTAATGTGTGGGGATTTATATTAAATTTTGCACTGATTTTTGTAAGTTGGGAAAATGGGTTAGGGTAACCAACATATGGCATGAAGCTTTGGGATGTAAAAGTGAAGAAAACTTTGCTAACTTGTTGCAAATTTCTGCAGATAACTTTGCAACTTTTAAACTACTTTCTCTCTGCCTTGTTTCTAGTTTATTAACCTTGCAAGAACTCTTCAGGCACATATGGAAGATATTGAAAGTAGGTGCTTCCCCTCTTCCCCTCCCCTCCCATTAGATCAACTCAAAGCTAAATGAGTACAATCCTCCTTGCCAAGATTCATGATATGAACATAATTACTGAAAACTTTACTTGACCCAGCAGTGCTTTTTCCATTATCAGTAGAACTATTCCGAGGGGGAACCGGTTTTAATTCTCCATGATTAATTTCCCAACAGTATAGAACTGTTTAGACTACCGAAGTGTTATCTGCAAGAGATTACAAAATTCCTTACTAGTTACAGTTGGTTATTGTAATTCTTGTAGTACCTAATTATGGGATTATTGGTGACACCTACAGGAGTTTTAGTAGGAATGAAACATTTAGAGTTGAATTTCACTGCACTTAAGTTACATATTTCTTTTGCAGTTTTTTCCTCTTCCCCTTCTTTTTTTTTGCCTTCTCCCTTTTTTCCATTCACACGCACTTTTTGGTTGTTTGGGTTCCTTGATCAGACCTACCGCACCTCATGAAGGATATTGAAAGGTTGCCAGTTTTTCATTAAATTCTGTGCTCTGTACAGACCCACAAAATGATTTTTCCTAGTGCTGTTGGGCTCTGTGTTAAGAGAAAAGAAGACATTTGAAAAAAAATCAAAAATTCAAAACTTCGTGCTGACTTCTGGTAAATGTATCCTGGATCTATTTCTAGGCGTGATGAATAGGCAGTAGAAGGGTAGTTGATCTGCCTTTTTCTTCCCTCGTGTGCACGTGAATGTCTGTTGACATTCAAAGTTTGTATATGAATTGTCACTACACAGGATGCATTTGAAGTACTATAAGGAACGGGGAGTGTGTGTGTGTGAGTTTTAGTTCGAGATGATTATTGCCTCAGAGCAGTCAAAGGTGGGCTAAAGTTCTGAATTAATTCTTAAGTTATGTGCATCCTTATTAGAGTAAAAATTAGCCTTAATGAGTGTCATTTTACACCTTAATTCAATCTGTATTTGATTCAGCCTTTCACTTGCAGGTGAGGAATGCTGAGTTTTAGATTTATCACTGATGCACTTTAGTTACATTTGTCTTCTAAGAACTGAAGAAGCAAGGAGTCAGGCTTTTCTTTCTGTATTCAGGAGTGGAACAAATTACTTCAATGGAAATACTTTCTTGCCTGCAGACTTGGCTTAAGAGGATGTAGTAAATTCCTGTTACAGATAAGCTCATGCTTTGCAAACCTGATGTAGATGTGTATACTGACTTTTCTTTCATAGTCGACAAGTATGTATTTGTCTCTTTAATTCACCTTGCAACAGCAAAATCCTATGCATGTGTGGGCTTCATGTTCATCTTGCATATGGTGAAAGAACAGGGCTGGAGAGAAGAGCTGCTTTCAAGTAGGCCCAAGTTGCATTAAACAACACATATATCTGTATATATTTAAAAATTTCAGAGTCTTCGTTTGTTCAGATGGCTGAGTCTTTCAGGATATTTTAGTATCTAAATTGTTAACATTTTTGTGAATCATTTCTTTCCCTGGTGTTGGGTGCTGCTGTCATGGATTGAATATATCCTCCTTTGATTACTGTTGGAATTAGCCACTGTAGACACTACATAAAAGTTGAATCTCTGGCTTAATAAGTTTTCTTCCTTTTACTTTGAGGAAGAAGAGCAGGAGGACACTGCCTTCTGTACTCTTGAGTTTTGATTTGAAAATGCTATATTTTTCAGACATGAGATGCATTTAAGAATTAATCTATGTGATTACACCAGGTTTGGGTGGGTATTACAATCTGCTATTTAATATTATAGAATTACTTTTATTTCCTCTGCGTATCCTGAAGTGCTTTAATTTCACAGACTTTTGTCAAGGCTTCTGATTATACTGTGTTGTTCCAACAGCTTCTGAAGATGATTCTGAAGACTGATGCTGGCAGAACTTTCCTACTGAAAGAAACAAATGGAATTGCTGCAGAAATGCTGAACTGGCAAGAACAAAGTCAACATGCATTTGTTTTATTCTTCTCCTTAGTAAAAAGCGCATTGAATATCCTTGTGGTTTTTGAAGCATTGTTGAATCAAAATAAACTGCTGCGCAGTGGAACTCTCAGTGGACTTGAGAACTACTCAGCATGTGTGAGGATTAGATACATAGAAAGCAACTTCCCTTTTTAAATTATGAGGAGTATGTGCTTTGTTTTGGAGGACATCAGATTTTGAATATTTAAGGAAGCTTTATCTCCCTTTGTGTTTCCTTCTTATTGTAGTCACATTTCTGGTTTTGTCTTACCGAGGTTTGCTCCTCTACTGGCACTAAGTGGTTATAGTGGGTTTCAGGGGGAGGGTGGGGATGTCCATGTACTGAAATAGGTTTTGTTTGGGTGTTCTTAAATGCTCTTTTGCCGCATCATATAATAACTGATTGCTTCCGTTGTTAATAAATGAACAGGAGGATAAGCAAGATACTGTAGAAATTGTTTGGGTTTTGGTTTATTTGAAGATTCTTATTTAACTGAAAAAGCAATAAGAACTTGCAGTGATCTTTTAATACTTGGTGATGGCTTTTTTATGTACCGGTTTGGAAATTGGAGATTATATTTGATATCATGTGGCTGTTCCATTTTGGAATATTGGAGGTGTAAAGTCTTGCATTTCAGCATTCCTAGCAGATGTGCAACTTGATAAAGACCTAAGGTTGCTTAGTTTAATCAGAGTTTTTTTAGATCCCACCTTCACTGTTCAAAGCACTGGTTATCAAGGTGTTTTCTAGTGTTGTCACTTCTTTATAAATAAAGACAAAAGAGGTATGCATCTCTACTGGTATTGTCCATTTTATTGAAATATGGATATTTACCAGAACTTACACTTGAAAACATAGAAAGCTGTAGTCTGTGGTATATCTTTACTAATGTTTATAAATTCTTATGAAGATATTTAAGATTGTTTCTGACCATTTTGGACTGAAATGCTTTATATGAATGGTGGTACAATAAATTCTCATACATGTATTGGAATTGTATTTCTTACAAATTTATGTTAGTTTTTTAATTACCACAGTAACAATATATCTGCAACAAGTGCAGTATGTTGAAATGCCATGAGTTTAGTTTATTGTTACTGTATGTAAAACTAACTTGTGCAGAGGAAAGGATGTGCCTTAACAGCTGAAATGAACTCATGTGACTTTTAACAGTTAACTTTACTAGTATTACATGAGATGGCTTATCATCTGTAAGATTTGAAAGAAAATGGAATGCTAATGAAATGGCACGTTGCTATGCCCATTCTGGTAACCTTAGGCATTGGAATATTCAGTGGCAATGCTTAGAAGTATTATTCCAGAAATTAGTTGAAATAGAGCACTGGGACATTTATCTGAAAAGTCAAGGTCCAGGCATGTGTGAAAATGTTTCTAACTCATTTCTGAAGAAAGTGAATTGAAGTTTATAATAAAAATGTTCAATCCTTTCGGAGTTAGTTGGTATAGCTGAATAAAATGTCGTACAATGAAGCAGTCAGTATTTCATATGCAGTCAATACATTTAGGGTTACAAGGATGAGTTTTGATACCCTAATAAATTGATGACTTGAAGGATATCTTTTTTTCCAGTCCTTGTAACAAATAACGTTCCATGAAGGTGAGCAATGTATGTAGCTTCACATACAAATTTGGTTGAAGTGATACATCACTCTGTTGTCCTGCAGCCTTGTTGAGCTTCAGTGCAAATGAAGGAATGACATGGGGGGAATATTGGGGTGAAATTGGTAAAGGGTGGAGGGTTTGAATGCACCTTTAGGGAAGAATGCCAGCCCCAGCTGCCTCCTCAGAGGAGAGCTCTCCTTTGCAAACCTAATTTCCTGAGCTGTATCGAGGGTGGGAGAGGTTGGGAGAAGCCAAGATTACCTATGCTCTGCGACCCCATTCCACTCACTAGTACTAATTAATAACCCACTAATTAGCAAATAACTAATTAATTTGTTTCACCTACCCACAACACATCCCACTGGTACACAGATACACTAGAAAATGACAATTGTGCAACCAATTAGGTCATTAAATGATGACATTTTCCAATAATTGATTGTTTTTCACTCATCAATGAAATGACAAATGAATTTTTTCCACTAATGAAGTAATGAACCTAGTTTACCCAATTAACAAATGAGGGGTTTCTACCCAGTAATTACGAAATTACTTTTTGTGAAACCAGCACCGCTGGGGTTGTTGAGCCTGAAGAGGAGGCTCGGGGGAGACCTCATCCCTCTCTACAACTCCCTGAGAGGAGGTTGTATCAAGGTGGGGGTCGGTCTCTTCTCCCAGGCAGCTCTCAGTAAGACAAGAGGGCACGGTCTTAACCTGTGCCAGGGGAGGTTTAGGTTGGATATTAGGAAGAAATTCTTTACAGAGAGGGTAATCAGGCATTAGAATGAGCTGCCCAGGGGAGTGGTGGATTCTCCCTCCCTGGAGGTTTTTAAGGTGAAGGCTGGATGTGGCACTGAGCACCATGATCTGGTAATCACAGTGGGGTTGGATCAAGGGTTGGACTTGATGATCTCAGAGGTCCTTTCCAACCTAGCTGATGCTATGATTCTATTCCCTCTCAATTTCCCCTTTATTCTCTCTCAATTCCCCATCTTCTCCCTATTTCCCCTCTAATCCCCCTCAAATCTCTTTCCATTCCCTCTCAGTTCCCCCGCTCCAGCGGGGGGCAGAAAACCTCAGCAGGCAACAAAAGGCAGCAGCGTCTGTCACCCTGACCCTCCTCAAACTCAGCCTGTGGGCCCAAACCTCCCCCCTCTGGGGAAACACTGCCCTTTCCAGCGTCAGTCTGTAGCACAGCCCTCACTCTGCCCTTCTGCACGCTTGCAGGCTCACCCCACATTCCGCACAAGGGGCCAAAGGCCACTTGGGCCGGGGCTGTCTTTGTCTCTGCAGGCTTAGGACTGCAGCCACCAGGGCGCTCCAGCATGGACAGCCTGGACCCAGAGCAGATCCCTCGGGATTAGCAGCGTCCTGGGGATACCTGGAGACAGAAAGCATCAGCCTCTGGGGCTACCACTTCATTTCCACCACACAGCCTGCCAAATTTAGAGATGCAGCTCTCTGATCACAAAACCCAGTTCTGACCCAGTTCTCCTGGCACCCACACGGAACTCCACAAAACCCACAAGAATGAGAATGTTCTGCTGCTTTGACAAACTTCACCTCAGCCTTGCAAACGCCCATCCCTGCAGCTCCCTGCCTTCCAGAGCTCCTGTCAGTGCTGTCTCCAGTTCCCTGCAAACCTGCCCCAGGCTGTGCCAGGCTGATGAGCAGAAGCCACCGGGCTGGACAAGGAAAAACCCTCCCCCGACTGCTGCAGCTGCAGGGAGATCCAGCTACCAATGGAATCCTGGGAACAGCCTCCAAAATCTTCTCTAACCACATCCAGGCAATGGCTCAGAGTGCCAACAGCTCCAGTGCCAGCTTGGTCCCTGCACGAGTCCTTGTCCCAGCCTGG